CAAGTGGGCAGCTTGTTTTGCGGAGTTTCTTAAATATGATATATGTTGAATTAGGGTTTAGGGCTTTTTGTGGAGAACTCTTCAATATTTTAAGTTAGATTTCCTATGAACTTTTAAAGAAATTATGCCAATCTGTTTGTTTCTGAAATCTAGTTACAAATGAATGGAAGAGTCGGTTAACTTCTTTCCTAAAATCTAGGACCTGATAACCATGATTTAGTTCTTCATGGTTTTTCAGTATATAACTACAATTGCTATGTTAATTAGTCAAGAGTTCAGATAAATTTATTTAAATAACTCAAAAGTTGAGTAAAAGACATCTAAGCCTAATCCAAAGGAAGTATAGAGTTCAACACAAACTATCTCCACTGATAATTGTCTATTTTCTACTTGCTGATTGTGGGTCCTCTTGTAATCTAGAAGAATTTTTTATTTGGGCGAAGAAAGTAACCATTAAACTGGTTCTTAAATTGTAAATTCCTAAAATACTTCAAAAAAATTATAAATTCCTAAAGAAATAAGTTGATGTATTACTAGTTTTTCAAGAAAGATAATATTGTTAAAGAATTTACTTTACGTATAAATAGAGGTATATTAGGTGAAAGGATATTAAAGTAAAAAACACCATTTGTAATTAATTCTACATTCCCTTTTTTTTATTCCTAGAGTTTGTATGTATAGAGACGTATTATTTAATGAAAACACAAAATAATCTTTGCTAATATGGTATCAGAGTTTTAGTTTAAAAAATATTAAACTCTGTTACAAACTTTTTTTCGGCCTTTACTACTGAAATAAGAAAACTCTAAAAAGGGTCAATCTTCATAGCCGGCTACTAGACCAGCCACTACGGGCCTTAATAGGCCGAAACTAGTTAATCAACCATCAAATGAAGTCCGGCCGCCACCACCACTAGCTATGCACCAGCAGAGACACTGCCACCAGCAGCTACGCACAAGCAGTCGCATGACCAACCACCTACAGCGGCGTCTAGGTGCTGCCATCTCCTAGCTATCTATACCTCCAGCGGTGCCCTTGTCACACAATCACTGTTCAACTGGTAAAACCCTTATTTTTAGCTTTATTTAATTGCTCTAAAACCTAAATCGGAGGCTATGTCTCAAATCACTGGCATATATTTTCATGCAAAAATTCTGCACAAATTAATGGAGAATTCCAGTCAATAAATGCTGCTTATATTTTCAATGGGAAGAAGTACTTGAATTGCTCACAACTGATTCAGAACATTGTAAAAAGAAAAGGAAAATCAATTACATTCTGGGCACTGGACCAAAATCAGAGATTCAAATTTGATGCATGGGATGAAAAGGATTCAGTAATAATGGTTTGGTTGTGAAACTCAATGACATTAGAGATAAGCAATATTGTTATGTTATTACCCAACACGAAAGAAGTATTAGATTTAATTAGAGAAAGCTATTTCAAGGTAAAATATGCAGTGCTAATATATGATCTAAAAAAATTAAAACTTGGTCAGCAAAATAAGAAAATAAATTGGTCACAGAGTATGTCAACCTATTGAAAAACTTGTGGCAGGAGCTTGATCAATATTGTTGCTTCACTATAGAAAGCAGCAAAGATGTTGCTACCCTGAAGATGGTGGAGAAAGACAGAGCATATCAATGGATGACAAGACTCAATGAAGAATATAATTAGGTAAGAATTTAGATCCTAAAAAAAGAAGAGATGCCATATCTGAATGAGGTAATATTCTTGGTCAGTTCCAAAGAAAGCAAGAGATGAGTTATGCTAGAACCCCGCACTATTAACAACTTAGTAATGGTAATTAAAGGCTTCAAACCCCATGCCCACAAAGAAAATAGCCTACCAACTAGTCTCTGATACATCCCCGTATCTATTTTTGTATCATTTTTATAGATCTCAACTTATGATTAGGGTCAATAGGTGTACTAGCTGGTTTACATGGTAGTTTACTTGTTTCTTTCAACAAATCATTTATGTATTTCTGCTATGAGATGGAGATTCGTGATTTTGAATGAGCTATTTCAATTCCCAGGAAGTACTTCTGATTTATGAATTCTTTGATTTCAAACTTCTTGGCCAGACAATGCTTGAGTCTTAGTTTTTCTTCTTCATCGTCCCTATTATAATAATATATATTTTTTTGAAATACTCATGTCACAATAATATCATCAACATATACTAAGAGAGCAGTAAATATCCCCGAATCTGAGTGCTTGATAAGTAAGGTGACTCTATTTTTGTTTGTTTTCCGTGCCCAACATTACTTTGCTAAATCTACCAAACCACACTCTAGGTGACTGCTTGAGTTCATAATGTGCTTTCTTCAATTTATACACTTTGTTTGTACTCATTTCTTTAGCAAATCTTAGTGGAATTTTCATTTAGATCTTTCGTTTTTTTTTTAAATATAAAGGAACTTCCATGTAGATCTCTTCTTTAATTCTCTATGTAGGAATGATTTTTAAATATCAAATTATTGTAATTGTCACTTGAAGTGGGCAGCTAGAGATTGTAGAACTTGCACTATATTCATTTTTGCAACTAGTGCGAATGTCTCTTGATAATCTATCCCGTAGATTTGGGTATAAAATTTGACCAATCAGCTTGCTTTTTACCTTTCAATTGTTCTATGTACCCTGGATTTTATGGTGAATACTTACATCCCCATGAACTTTTTTCCTTTGGTAAAGTCTACTATCTCCCATGTCTAGTTCTTTTCTAGTACTTGCATTTCAGCGATCATGGTATTTTTCCGTTTCTCATAGGATAATGCCTTGGATACATGTTAGAAAATAGATACAATATTAAGACTAATAAGAAAATTCTTGAAGGATTGTGAACACTCGTCAAAATG